CGTAAGTTTTGCTGTCATTGTTTACATATTATTTAATAATAAAAAAAATCCTTTAAATATTTGTAGAAAACAATTCATTACAATCTAGCATACTCGCAAAATGAAAATATTGACAATTGGATTTATTGGATAATATTATTATTAGTATTAACCTACATTTGCAGATTTAACAAATATTTCTAATTCTAATACCAGCAGGAAATATATCAGTTTAAAAAATTGAAATTATTTTGTGAAGTACAAAAACACAAACTAGTAGAAAATTTGAGAACTAATATCAAACAGTCTCTTAATACATTTGTAACCTGTCATTAGTATTAACGTGAATGAAAAGAGAAAGAAGACCCTCCACTACGAAATCGACATTTTTGTAAATTAAAATCATAACAATTGAAAAATCGCGTTTTTATGAGCATAGTCATCGCGACATTGAATCCAACCTTGAATATGGGGAGTCTATAAGGGAACCCTTCGTAAATATAACCCTTATTTTCTGCGTAAAATTGAGTTACATGATCAGACCAGAAACATAACACACACAACCCGCAGACTTGTCAATCAATCTGATAATATAGAATGTCAAGTTAAATCTTTGGTCACTTCGTCTTTTTTGCATTTCCATCCATTTAATTTTTAAAGTTTTCTCTTCTCGTTTTTAAATTTCTCTTTCTTGGAATGGTGGTTGATGTTCAATAGTATTTTGTTATCTTGATTTTTATTATTAGGCTTAGTATTGTACGATTTCATAGACTTAACATATAAAAAAACATAATCTAAATTGATCACTATCAGCTTCATTGCAACTGCGATGTATGTAATGTAACTTTTGTAATTGGGCGGCCTCAGCCACCATATTCACCGGATATTACCCCCTACGACTTTTTCCTGTTGTTGGAACTCAAGAAACCATGAAAGGCAAAATTGCTGGAAGAGCTCACGGCTATACAAGAAGTGCTTCAAAGATTGGAAAAAACGTTGGCACAAGTGTATTATAGACCTTCTTTTTCATGTGCCGTGTCTCTAAATAAGGCTGTACTTGATATATGGAACCATTCCCTTAAATTTCGAAGCCATGATATTCTTCTGCCAGCTGGCCTTCTTCTTCTTCTATCTTGCCCTGTATAAATAAGTGGAGAGCATTATAGCAGTCAGGATGTCACATGCGCAAAATATTCAAGCTTTCTGGTCAATTTAATTATTTCAGGTTGTTTATGTAGACGCTCCAATACTTGGTCGTTGCGCATTCTGTCAACCCTGCTTACACGTAGCAATCTGCGGTATACCCACATCTCAAAAGCTTGTAATCTTTTTAGCAGAATTTCCGTCAGCGTCCAGCTTTCCATCCCAAAAAGCAAAGTCGATGTTGAGGTTGTCCGGAAGAAAGCAGCTCTAGCTTTTTCTATACGAATTTTGATTTCTTGGCTCACATCCCAGTTGTTGTTTATGTTAGAGCCCAGGTACGTAATATTGTCTACCTGCTCAAGCGGGACTCCATACGCTGTAATCACATACGCGTCTACCGGTTGTTTACTTACAATCATACATTTCGTCTTTGAGGTTTTCAGTTTTAGTCCGTATTCGTTACATACGTTGGTGAGTCTATCGCAAAGCATTTGTAGTCCTTGCGGAGTAATGGCGAACAGAACAGTGTCCTCAGCATATCTTACGTTACTGATGCTAACTCCATTTAATTTAATCCCTTCATCGAATTCATCAAGAGCCTCTCTGAAGATTACTCAGAGTACAGGTTAATGTTTGCTCCTTGATGCCAATAAAGGTTTTTAATTATTCGCATGTTCCCGTCGTTAATACCTACTTGCTGGAGGATTTCCATCAGTTTGCCGTGCCTGACCTTGTCGAAAGCCTTCTTAAAGTCAATAAAGCACATATAAACGGGGTGGTTGATATCTCTGCATCTCCGCACTAGAACTTGGATACAAAACAGTGTTTCTCTGTCTCCTTTATTCCATGTTCTTAGTTGGTCTGTGATCTAAGATTGCCGGTCTTGTCAACTAGTCTATTAGGTCTCTTGTGCCTGTTACTTCTTTAATTTTCTTATGCACCGAAATTCCTCAATCTCTTTGCATCTGTTTTCGTGCCATATATCTTTTGCAGCTCGAATAGTTCTTCTGATTTCTAACATGTTACACCAGATGCTGTCTCCTTCGCTATATTTTTAAATAGGGTCCAATGAGCTTCGATATTGTAATCAAAGGATTTTTTCTCAAACTGCGCTTCCGTAGTATTTGTAATCATACTGTGATTTTTTTGCAGATACTCTGCATTTAATTTTTGCGGAGGTTGGTGCTTTGGTTACTTAAAGAAGGTATTCATTAAAACTTTCATATCTTCTTTCTTAATTGTGTCCGTGACGCTTTTGATGTCTGCGTAGAAGTTTTCTATCTCATCCGCGCTACTTTCTGCTGTGGGTTGCATATACTTGAATGAGATTGATGTCTGGACAATATACATTTTGGTGAATAAATAAATGCTTTTTGAAAAAACCTAAAAAGTCACCTTACTGTTTGAACGCACCCAGTTAAATCTTCAGGCACAATGGTAGGCGAAAGATCATAACCCTGTTTTAGAACAGCATAAGGGGCCCATGCATTATTTAATAGCTATACGCAAAGACGAGAAAATGTTGAACTTCGACGCAGAAATAAATACCGAATTTCCGCGTAACTTAAGCGCGCATCCTCTTCACACCCCCACCCGCCCCCCTCGAAAGATGTAAAACATTCTAAGTCTATCTGGCCCGCGATTGTTCTCGGCAAATCTATTGGAGCATTAACTCCGAGGTATAAAACCTCGATGCTTCGCGCACAAAAGGTATTATATTTACCCTATCTTTGTACTTGTGTTCCAACGTTTTCTGTATCTCTTTTGTCTCTACGTATTGGTTTGCTTTAAGGAAATTTAATAGTATTCATTAATATCTTACTTCCCCGTCTCGGGCTTTGCGCGCGCGTACGTTTGCAGTTCGGGATGCGCCTTTTGAAACCGAATGAAGGAAGTCGTATGCGGTGCGCTTCATCGAAGGAATACCGTTTTGTTCGATTCAGGTTCGAGTCCATGGCAACCCTTGAGCGAAACGCAGTTAATCAAGTTAAAGAGAAAAGCTTTGGCTTACTCTTTTTCAATTTCAAAGTTCATGTGTTTTCAAAAGTAAACATTTTTTTTTATTATTTTGTATAGTTTTTTTTCTGAAATATTTCAAACATTTGTTATTGCTTTTTGGTAAGAAAAGTAATATTGCACCCATAAATTCTTAAAATAGAATCATTTTCTACAAAAAGACACTTTATTATATTAATAAATAAATGATAAATAAGTATCTATTTATTTTCTAGTTTATAATAAATGTAAGTAAGGAAATTAACAACTGAAAAAGGATATTCAGGATATTAAGGACAACAATTTAAATGAATACCTCAATGAATTGACAAATGGAAAATCTACAGATTACTCACGATGGAAAGCAACCAAAATACTAAAGAGACCAATCATCCAAAACTCACCATTCACAAATAACGACGAAAACTGCGCTGACAATAATGAGCAAAAAGCAAATAGATTTGCAAGGGACTTAGCAACGATCTAATTACCTAATTACTGGCAAAATCCTAAAGTATCTACCAAAAAATTATATTATAGCTTTCAGACTAAAGTACGTACCCGGAGGAAAATGGCTGAAGTCATAATGATTTTCTTATTTCATTGAGTTTGTAGAGAACGACACTCCACAATGACAAGATGACTGGCTGATGTCATAGAAAAATCATTAGAAGGAATGAAAGTCTGTTTTTCTTAGACGTGGGTTAGGCAATTGATAAATTGGGACGTGAAGGATTCAGATGCCAAATGGGGACTCATTTTTGCCCAAACATTATCCACAATTATTAGACTGAGTTTGTAGAATAAAGCATCAAGAAAATTATGCAGGTATAAAAGAAATAAACGCTTGCGTGCCACAGGGTGGTGTGCTTGGACCATATAGGACTGGTACTTGTACGCTAGTGACATTCCTCTACTAGAAAATTACGATTATTGTGATTGGACATTCTGGCCAAATACTCACGAAGAAGCAGCAAATAACTTACAGATATTGGTTAATAAAATTAATAACTGAACCAAAAAATGTAAAATTCATCGATCCTATTGACGAGCAAATTACAATCGTATCTAATAAATAAAAATATGAAATAAAATTAGAAATTTGCTTTTTGTTTCAGTCAAGAGCTACTTAAATTGTATTTTGTCAAAATTTTAATATGCTGCTATAAAATCCATGCGGTTGATAATTTTTACAGGCCCATTATTTGTTTTTTTTATTACATTTTTATAATTTGAAGAAACTAATAAATAATAAATAATAAAAATTTTCAGAAAGCAATTAATTATACACTCGGAACAAACCGTTATAGACTTTTTGCAGTTGTAGATCGAGGTTACCTGTTCCTAATTTTTTTTAATATCAACTTGTCTAACAGCTTTATTTTAATTTTATTAATACATTAATTTTGCATCATATAATAACAATTTCTAATAGAGTTAATTATTCGTAATTTCCTCAACCATATTCCTTTCTTAGAGCCACCGGTTTACTTTAAAAAGAATTCTATGGCAATCTCAAAGCGGACCCAGCGAAAACTATATCATTGCCCTTATCATGATCGATTTTCCTACTTTATGAAAAATGATAATAAATAAAAAATGCAAATTGTTACAAAGTACGTGAAAATTAACATCCAAAAGTACATAACTTGTGTATTATAATATTTTTACGAAAATATCGCTGCGCAAGAGATGGAAGGTGAAATTTTCCTGGAATTCTTCAACTGTGTTTGAAAATAGTACATTATTCAACAAGTGCGGTGAACGGCATTTGACTCACCAGTTCGTTAAAAAGTTTACCGAACGTGTTGCACACTATACTTTTTCCACCAATCCAAACTAACCAAAACAATTCACTGACATGACCGACAGAATTGACAAACGTCAAAATTCAAATCGCGGGAAATATCTCCGAAAACGTCGGATTGCTCCTAAATCCCTGCGGTAAAATCCCCGAAATATCCGAAGTGACCAGGATTCCTGGAAAACGAAACTGACCTGGTAAAGTGACGCTTCCCGCACGCTCGCAAATCGATGGGTAATTAGGTATTTTACAGACGGGACTAGAAAAACCTTTTTTAAATGACAAAGGTAATACAAGAAGGAAGGTAAAGTTGTTCGTTATGCACTGAAAGTCATTTAAAACATTAGAATATTTCAAAGTTGGACGTCGTTGCACACAAAATAGCAATAAAGGTAGGTACTTGGAATACTTAACATAGTACTTAGTTCTTTTGATATCTCAGTTCTAATACTTAAAGTAGGAAAAATTTAAATATCTTGCAGTGGTGTGTGTTTATGTTTAGGGACGGAAAGCTTTCAGTTGGGCAAAAGCCGTTCTAACCCAATAGCCTTAATAACTCAAAAAATAAATATATATTCCACAAAACTTCGTCACGTACTTTCTCCAACCCGATCTCGAATGGAGATAACGCGCAGCTCGCATTCGGTTGGTTTTATGACTCAATTCCGCTTAAAAAATACCATCCCCGAATACAAGGAACGGGGGACCTTTTACGACGTTCGGGAAAAAAAAAGATGTCGCTGATGATATCTTAATTGATTGCGACGAGGAATAGTTGTAAACTATTAGCCTTTCTGCCCCGCGCTTCCCATATTTCCAAGGAGAGAATACTACGTTGCCGTCGCTGACGTCGACGTTTCAAGTGTATTTGGCGCAGTCGGTAGGATAATGCCGCGCCGCGTATAGATTGTTCTAATCGCGTTGCCGCATCTCGGTCACACCGGCTCTTCCCCTCCCGCCAAAATACAAAAATTACGTTTAACGAAAATCCGGGCAATAATAAATCCTTTAAAGTCTGTCCTACGCCGCCCGCGCCTTAATTGAATCGTAGACTTTCAGCTCACGTAGCGACCGGTATCATATTTTAGTAATGCGTATATTTTATTTTTCGGTGTAGAGGCTCATTCCGTTGGACGGAGATAAGCGATCCGGTGATACCGGAGAGCTCGGGACCCTGTTTATTTTCCTTTTTTTTTTTGGATATTTCGTGTTTGTTTTTTTTTTTGCTCCACGGAGTATCAATTTCGCAAAACATTCTCTCTGTGCAGACAGTTTTAGTAGTTTCTCTAGCGTCTTATTGGCTCGATAACAAATTCAGATAAGATCTTGTGCAGGCTCGCCCATTTTCGAAGCTATTGCTTATCTTTAAAGATAAAAAGAATTGGTTTTCGCTATAGCAATACAGACAAATTAAAGTTGTCAAGCGGTTTTCGTTTTTGAGGTTTTTTAGGAAACTCTGAATTTTCAAATGATCGATAAGCTGAGAACTGTTTGTTGTTCTCGGAATAAGGATTCGGAAAAGATCAGGTCAAAAATGTATCTGATTATTCCTTTTTTTTATACGGTCCACCCTACATATTATTTCTTATTATGATGAAGAATAATATGCTTTTCAGAAGTATATGGAAAATAAATATAGATATTTAGCAAAGTATTTAAGCAAAATAGGGTACAAGAAACGCGACGTGAATATGCTGCGAAAGTCTTGAGGAAAAAATAAATAAAAATAAATAAAATAAATTAATAAAAATAAAAAAATAAAAATTATTGTGATAAGTTCTGGAATTGATATTGAGAATATTGTGAGTTTTTTATTTACATTTTAATTTTTTTTTGTGTAATTACTTGACAAAAAACAACCTTATAACTCAATACTTAAAAAGATGATTTGTTTCACTTATAATGGTGCGAAGCATTGGACCATTTTACTGAGATATTCATTGCTTCAAGATTAATTAAAAAAATTATTAATAATAACAAATGTAAAAATAAGTACTGATGGCAATTTCGAACTGGTTAAGCTATGATACTAAGATCAGATTCTGAATGAACAATTGAAATGATAGAAAAAGAGAGAAAATAAAAAAGAACATAATGATTTAAATGCGTATTGACAATTAAAACATGATTCACATTCAAATATTTAAATGGTCTAGGGACCCTGTTGTATGGTTTGTAAGGGTTATAAGAAAACGAACTTTCGTAAAGTGAAGTCTAGTGAGGAGGAGGCAAGATGTAACGCTGAAATCTTAAGTTCAAATTATAAACATCGGGTCTGTCAAAATAAATAACAACTAAAAGTTCAGATTTTCACGGAATTATATATTATGACATGACAATTGTTTCGACAACACCGTGTCTTTATCAAAAAAAATTTTTTTTTTTATTTTCATTCTTTTTTTTTTATTTTATTTTATTTGTCATGTCATAATATATAATTTCGTGAAAATCTGAACTTTTGGTTCTTATTTATTTTGATAAATGGATTTTCATCAAGTAAACCCATCAAGTAACCATCAAGCAAAGCCACCTCAGTTCAACATTGGGTCTGTATTTAATCTTATATACGTACAAAGGTTTTTCGAAAGTAATTAAAAAAACTGTTGTCATCAATCATGGCCACTTTGGCACCGCACTACGCATCATTCGGTTTGTATTTTTTTTTTATAATTGACATTCAAATATTTAAATGGTCTAGGGACCCTGTTGTATGGTTTGTAAGGGTTATAAGAAAACGAACTTTCGTAAAGTGAAGTCTAGTGAAGAGGAGGCAAGATGTAACGCTGAAATCTTAAGTTCAAATTATAAACATCGGGTCTGTCAAAATAAATAACAACTAAAAGTTCAGATTTTCACGGAATTATATATTATGACATGACAATTGTTTCGACAACATCGTGTCTTTATCACAAAAAATTTTTTTTTTTTAATTCTTTTTTTTTTTAATTTTATTTTATTTGTCATGTCATAATATATAATTTCGTGAAAATCTGAACTTTTGGTTCTTATTTATTTTGATAAATGGATTTTCATCAAGTAAACCCACCAAGTAACCATCAAGTAAAGCCACCTCAGTTCAACATCGGGTCTGTATTTAATCTTATATACGTACAAAGGTTTTTCGAAAGTAATTAAAAAAACTGTTGTCATCAATCCTGACCACTTTGGCACCGCACTACCCATCATTCGGTTTGTATTTTTTTTTTATAATTGACATTCAAATATTTAAATGGTCTAGGGTCCCTGTTGTATGGTTTGCAAGGGTTATAAGAAAACGAACTTTCATAAAGTGAAGTCTAGTGAGGAGGAGGCAAGATGTAACCCTGAAATCTTAAGTTCAAATTATAAACATCGGGTCTGTCAAAATAAATAAGAACTAAAAGTTCAGATTTTCACGGAATTATATATTATGACATGACAATTGTTTCGACAACATCGTGTCTTTATCACAAAAAAATTTTTTTTTTTAATTCTTTTTTTTTTTAATTTTATTTTATTTGTCATGTCATAATATATAATTTCGTGAAAATCTGAACTTTTGGTTCTTATTTATTTTGATAAATGGATTTTCATCAAGTAAACCCACCAAGTAACCATCAAGTAAAGCCACCTCAGTTCAACATCGGGTCTGTATTTAATCTTATATACGTACAAAGGTTTTTCGAAAGTAATTAAAAAAACTGTTGTCATCAATCCTGACCACTTTGGCACCGCACTACCCATCATTCGGTTTGTATTTTTTTTTTATAATTGACATTCAAATATTTAAATGGTCTAGGGTCCCTGTTGTATGGTTTGCAAGGGTTATAAGAAAACGAACTTTCATAAAGTGAAGTCTAGTGAGGAGGAGGCAAGATGTAACCCTGAAATCTTAAGTTCAAATTATAAACATCGGGTCTGTCAAAATAAATAAGAACTAAAAGTTCAGATTTTCACGGAATTATATATTATGACATGACAATTGTTTCGACAACACCGTGTCTTTATCAAAAAAAAAAATATTTTAATTATTTTTTTTTTAATTTTATTTTATTTGTCATGTCATAATATATAATTTCGTGAAAATCTGAACTTTTGGTTCTTATTTATTTTGATAAATGTATTTTCATCAAGTAAACCCACCAAGTAACCATCAAGTAAAGCCACCTCAGTTCAACATCGGGTCTGTACTTAATCTTATATACGTACAAAGGTTTTCCGAAAGTAATTAAAAAAACTATTGTCATCAATCCTGGCCACTTTGGCGTCATGGTAGTAGCAATTGAGCAAGGGTCAGGACCCGTACTCGGCTACTAGTTTAGAAATTATAGCACAGAGATTAATATGGTTTAAGCCCTTGGAACTTATTGGAGTGAACAAAATGGCCCCAGGACTCAGAAGTTGCTCAAAACAGTGCGGTCAGTCCTGGTCTCGAGGACATTCTAAAAATTTTGCTAAATCTAAGGCAAAATATTTAAATAGATAAATAGAACAGAGTAAGAAGTGAGAAGAATTTAAAACGGTTTGAAGAAGTGCCTCAACGAATAAACATTTCGTTTTCGTTTTTATACCATACCCCTGCGATCGACATTTGTTTTCCCTGTTGCCCGCGACTATATTAGCCCCTTACACACGGACGATCGAGGAAATTGGCAAGAAACCACGAAGGGTTTATTAGGTTTGTTTGGCAGAATTGTCGGCCAGTCGTTAGCCCGTCCCGATCGACTGTTTCCCGATGGAGACGTGACATAGGCGTCCGTCTATCATCCTGACGGTTACTTACTTTTGAGCTGTTTAGTGCTTATTCAACTTTTTAGGACACCGAAGCAAACGACAAGTATCTTATCTGGCAAAATCCTCGGCCGTCATATATTAATTGCAGGCCCCTAAAAAGCCAGTTTCTGAAAGCAATAATAGACGAGAAGATACGAAACCTTGCCAATACTCCTGTTTTGGTTTTAGGTCTTTAACCGGAATAAGTTCACTGCTATTGGTGCAATGATTCTCCCACAATTACGAAGCAAATGGAGAATATTTTGATGAGGCCGATAAATTCCCGGTATACGGCATTTCCTCAATATCGGTTACAATTGGGAAAATGGCAAGCACGTGGTACGGACAATTTGCTTGTTACAGCAGAAAAAACGAGAATTCGGAAAATGAATTTCGATATCGTCTGGGGATCATTGTAGACCCGGCAAGGCACACCACAAGTGATGGAAACACTGCGCGTTGGTTTCACTGTATCCTTGGTACAAAATGCCGGTAACTGTCCATAAAATATTTATACACGGAAAAGAGATCGTAAAGTGCGGTCCACTGACAATCGGACAAATTTCCGAAGAGGGCCGCAATAAAGAATTACGAAGATCTTTGGAATATATTTCATTATTTGTTGTTGTTTGTTGAAATTTTAAAATCCTGAAGAAATCAGACGAAAGTGGTGAGCCTGATTAAGCGTTGCCTTAAAATTAAACTTGTTATATTATTACTGTTATTATTATTAAATAAAAGTTGATATGTTTAGTTTTATTTCGAAATATGTTCTACAGAATTGCCATTATCTCAGAATAATGGTGATATTTGTCTCCATTACGTACTCATCAACATAATCAATTTTAGATACCGTATATATTTATGCACCTTTTGCAGGTACTCCAATTTTACAAGTTTAGTGATTTCCGACAAAAACAGCATTTAACTAATTTTTCATACCAGGCCCCTACGTCGCCGCCGCTGCGTGCCCGAAACAATACAAACTTGAAACCTGGACCGTCGATGATCAAAACTCGGCCTAATGTCGCCGATAACGACTTCATCGGGCCCAATTGTTCCGAACCCCATTACCGAGGTAATATTTGTAGGTTCGGCCCCTAAAACGTCAAACGACACGTTTTTGTTTGCTGTTTGCGTTATCCGGATATTTCTGGATTTTCCCACACCCCGTGCCCCCCCCGGATTGCGGGTGAGTTTGACCACGTTACACGACAGTTTACGAAAGCTCTGATTAAGATTACCGTTGCTATTTGATATTACCGTCATGCTAAGAATAAGGTTGAGTCGGGCGTGCTTATACTGGATGCACACGACAGAGATATCGATTTATCTGATTCGCAGCATATCATAAAGAGTTAGGGAATGTTAAAACTTGGAGATGCAGATCAGTAATGGCTTTTAAAAAAATCTTTCAATATCTTGTTTTAAAGATGCCAAAATATTGCAATGTCACACGGTAATAATATAGTTCACAAAAAAATATCAATGGTCCAAATGAATGATTAGCTCCGTTGTTCGATATTATTCGTCGGGGACAACCATATCTTAAGAAAACTTCGTTTATGAGGGTTGTCGCGCATTCTGCTGCTGTAGCTTTGGTTAGCAGGGATAGCTCGACCCATTTGGTGGCTGTGTCTTCTACTATGAAGACCCATTGTTGCTAATGACGGCTAATAGGATACCTAAATCGTATGCCATACTTGGTCTTATGTAATAGCTTTAAATATGGGTGTGCTACCTATTGAGATGTAGGGTATTCAATGTCAAAAAAATGTCAATCTTTGCTAATAGTGTTAGGATCGATATTAAGGAGAATATCAATTTACTCATTTAAAATGATACATTCCTGATACAGCCAGGTCTTCGCTTTTGGAATTTTTGTTTTTGTTTTTGTCGGTTAGTTTCCTTTCAAACATTTACAGACGCCTTAAATCCTTCTATATAGCTGGTATTTATTCTTCCGATGTTTTTTGCAAGCCAGGACCGAAATCGGCAGAGAACTAATCTCGAAATCCATTAGTCAAATTAAAAGTGTCGGGGGTGACATCTCCGCGTTCGGAAACTTTCCCGGCCTTATCAAACAAAGAAAAATGATCGGGGAATGATGCTCCTGTGGTTCGAAGCAATCATCATTTCGAGTCTGATACTTCGCCTTTTGTTCGGGCTCTCTTCCCGATCGCCATTTTTCAAGCCTCAATGGACCAAACTTTAGATCGGAATATCGAGAGATATCAACAGGCGGCTATATTTTAAATTTTTTGTTTTTTAGAAAAAGTCGTCTTGCAAATGGCGAATAGGAAAAACAGTTGGGTAATTTTAGGAAAAAAAAAATTAGATAATGGCAAATTTAGAGATACTGTCATTTTTCCGGATGTCGCCAGATTAATAAAATAAAGAAATCCTTGCAATTCCCTTGGTATTTCTCCTGTTTCATGGGTCTGATTGAAAAGGGAAATTATATTGTCCAGATGTCATTGGTCAATGAGTTTTAGCACCTCTGTAGGTAGGTCGTCAGGACCAGGAGTTTTCTTTTAAAATGCTATTCTAGGAATACATCAAAAAGGGTTTTGATGTATACTTGAAATAGAGTTAGTTGATCTTTAATATCTGTACAGACGTATGATGAAACTCTTTTATTTTTTTATGTACACTGTGCGAGTTATGCTGTCTACGCTGATTTTCTATTTAACTGCACTCCTCTTTGCCCTTTCGACACGTGCATTTGATGCCTTTTTGAATTTCTGCCGCTCTTTCAGGTTTATTCTTTCCTCCATACGCACTAAAACCTCCTCTCCGTCATAAAATCCTTTCGATGTGCTTTTCTTTCAGGCTTCAGATGTCAGTTACATGGTTTTTAGATTTCGCCAAATCTCCAATGGTTGACTCTGAGTTTTCGTTTATATCCTGATACGTTCTCGCTTTCACGTTGTTGCGTCTCAGTAGGCTGGTATCCATAAGTCTTTGGTTTGATGCCTCTTTCAAGCCCTTGAGTTTCACCAAGAAGGTCATCCGAGCCTATATCCCCTCCTGGGTAGGTTTTGGCACTTTTCTGATAATTAAAAAATGTATTAGCTAGCTAAAGGTCACTTCGCAGCGTAATACAATAAATATTCTCTATTCTATAAATTTGAGTTTGATAGGTCGCGCCGAAACGTTATCAAAAGCCAGCAGGAATAATCCTGCCGGCACGCATTATAGGCCCCGTGTGCATCTCCAAATCCGCATTATTTTCGGCGATGATATACGAGGCCATTCGACAAGCTCTTAAGGATTTCCAGTGTATATCGTCTGCGAGTGTATTTCGCATTCAAGCCCGTCCTTCTCCGTAATTTATTGGGAGATTTTGAATTGTGCGAGCAGCTTCCGCCGCTGATTTATTCGCCTCTTCTGTCATCGTGGTGTGGGGGGGACGAGCAGTTATTCGACACCGTCGTCGTCGAGGAGCCTAAGAAGACGCTCGAATTTGATTTACGACTCTGGGAAAGGAATCGACGACTCGCGAAAAATGTTGCCTCATAAATCGACGCGTTTCGGTTTATACTCGATATGGCATGATCAAATGGACATTGTGACTGTTTATCCTAAAGAGGTTGGTAGAGGTCTCACTCAAATAAAATTTGTCATCCAACGTCAAATCTTGGTTTCAACATTGACGCGCTTAGTATCAAATTGGACTAAAACAGAAAATAGCATTTTCTTGTATCTATAGACCCCCCCAATATTAAGTTAAACGCTGCTTTAGGTGATTTAGACAATATATTTTTCCATGCTTATCTCGCCGTTGATGACCCTTTTTGTCTTGGCGATTTTAATGTCAATCTTTTATCTCTCGATAATCCACTAGTACTCTTCTTTGAAAATTACAATCTTTATCAAGTTATAAACAAACCCACAAGAATTACAGCAGTACGCTGACGATAGATACATAGATAAATTAATTTATTGCATCTTGGATTTCTTTAAAAAGCCTATTGCACCCATAATTCTAAAGTATCATTGTTTTAGAAACTTCAATGTCAACATGATATCTACAACTTACCGTGCTGCATATCGTCAACTTAATTGGCTTCAAATGGAACGAAGAAGAGCTTTTCATTTCAACGTATTCGTTATGAAAATTATCCATAACCTCCATTTTGCTGAGAGAGCGGTAGTTTTGTTATTCTTCCGATTTTGCAGGTATTTTTCATATTTTATTTGTTGTTCATCCATCCAATTCTGAATGATTCCGCTAGGTGGTCTTTATTTGATACAACATTTTTGTCATAGTCTGGTAGAAACCGAATCTTAGGATCTTGTCCCTAGAATAAAATAATTAAATTTTAAAATGACGCCATTTTTATTGTTATTTATTCGTGTGTTTTCAAGATTCAATGATAAAATTTCATGATTTTAAAATTATGAAAAAATTCTTGGTTCAAATTAATATGGAAATGCCAGAGTACCCGGAAAATAAAAATAGAATTAAAGAAAAACTATTCAATGACTAAAAACTATTAAAATACTTTTTAAGAATGATGAAGCTCTCGATGCGTTTGTGCTATCTGGGCCTGTGGTGTCTTCAGGATACGGCATTAACTTCAATCGGCTTTTAGGGAGAAATCTGCCTAACACTCGCGGAATATTTAACGCTCAAAGCAACCACAAAGAAAGATAACATGTAACGCGTTTAAAAAAACTAAATTTCTACAGTAAAAATCATTTTCATGGCTTAACGTGATGGAAGATAGTCAAGGTGGTCGCGAGATCAGCCAAGTCCTCAGAAGCGAAAGTGTTTCGGTACTATTTAGATGAGGCTTGTAGGTCTGTGATTCCAATAAAATTAAATACGCAGAGCTTTCGTTAATGACGTTTTCGTTGAACCTCAGAATCTCCATAGTTGAGAGGAAAATCCGCAAAATTGCGCCAATGTGTGCAAGTGTCAAGGTTAACTAAGATTGTCAATTTAATTCTATTCTATGTACTCAAAAACGCTGCCGATACTATCGGCGTCTCATGGCACGATTCAGTGTCGTCAAAGTCGATTTTATACCCCCAAAATTGACGGGAAAGACCGTAATATTTTTGACTAAACCATGGAAAATATCGCATTATCTACCGGATGGATCGGGGATATTAAAACGAGAATAAAAATCGGGCATAAAACCGAATGATAATTCGGTGTGTTTTAGAGACCCGTTTTTCGGATCATAATAAAATACTTAGTAAAAGACGGCACGCTGGGCAACAGCAGGGACGGACCGGGCACGTGCCACGGGCATTCCCCCACCATCCCACCCCAAATTTCCACACGACCGACTGCATCGGTCAGAACAGTAAATGTGAAGGTGCAGAAGATCCTTAAAAATGGTCAGAAAATTACGCAGCCGCGTTGCTAACGTATGCAATTCGCATTTGGTAAATCTAAGCGTATTGCAAAAGTTGGTACTTAAAATTATATGTCTTCTAGGTTTACAAAGAAAAATATGAAGTGTGAAAAACATGATATACTGCACATTGTTAATTGCTAAAGTTATCCAAAGAAATAACATGCATGGGGGCATAGAAAACTGCCGTCAGAAACTTTCTGTTGTAATGCGATATTTTTTTTGTAAAACGGATTCAACATGCATGAGGAAAATGTTATCCTAATAACTATAAACTATAGTGTGAAACGTCATTAATGACTTTTGTGTACTGATAAAGTAGACTTTTGACCTTGGATGTTATATTAAGAGAGTAACTATTCACCTGGACATAGACTAGGACTTATCTCTTACAGTCATAAAATGAAAATATTTTCTATTCTCTATTCTATTCTATTGCATTACTTTTGTTTTCTTGCTGCTGGATTTTTTATGTATGTATTTATGTGTCTTTTTCGTTATTGTATTTTGTATGCTGGTTTCTGTTGCAACGTCCTCTTGGCTGAGATTCATTTCAGTGTTATTTAAATGTCAAAAATGTTTAGTAAGAATGTTGATTTCTTAATAAAGTGTATGAAAATTAGGAAATAACTATTTGCATCGAGCAAAATCATCAACTTATAAAACTCTATATTTATTTTTTTTTCATATTT